TGAGAGAATTGCCGAGTCATAATATTCGTGCGTATTCGGCAATGTACCATCATGGCAGTTCTCACGAAGATGACATCCCGAATGTACGCCTAATTGCACGAGTTATCCCACGCACTCCGTCGCAGGAAAACTTGACGCCTGAGAGAGACTTTGCTACCACATCGATGGAAACATCTGGTAAGAAACGTCATCATGAAGAGTCACCTAAGACGTCGAAACAAACAAAGAAGAAGCTGAAGAAGGAGGAGAAGAAGGAAATTGCTGCTTCGAAGGGCAAGGAATCTCCAAAGAAACGAGCTGAAGCGACAACATCTGAAGTTACTACTAGAGTCTTAACTGAGAAGCAGCAGGGTAGTGTACCTGAGGAAGGAAAGGCAGGATACACTTCTACGTCCAAAACTACACGAGAATCTCCACACAAGGATGACAGAACTTTCAAATCTCAAGTGCAATCCTTTAAATCTGAAGTCGAGGGTGATGCTTCAAAGCGCGGTTTCCTCTCCGGAGGATGGCGCCATGGAGGTGAAGAACAGACAGTGGAAAAAGAGCAAGTACGTCCTGAGAGCTATGGATTACCATCTACATCCTATGGAGGCCCCCTAGAGACTACATCCCATCAGCGTGATCTAGAACCTGCACCATTAGGAGAATATGCTAAGCCTTACCATCCTGGACAGTCGTGGAAGGAGAGTAAGACTGTGAAAACCTCTGCTGTCCAAGGTTCTGGTGAGCATGGCCATGTAAAAAGTGGACGAGGAGAAGTTTCTACTGGCCAGTTTGGAAGTGAGACTGTGAGGACTGAAGCGATCCCAACGTTCACTACCCGGTGGGGAAAAACTACAGTTGAAACTCCAGAAGAAGAACGAAAAGTCCGCTTGATAGCACTTGTTCGACGAAAATCGGAGGAAGAGGAGGAGCCAGAAGTTAAGAAACCAAAGAAGGAGAAAGATTCACCTGGACTTTTTGGCTTCTGGAAAGGAGGAAGGAAGAAATCACGTGAAGCTCATGTCGAACTTCCGCCGGATGAGAGACCTGGACCATCGGAAATTTCCAGACCTGCTGGTCCATTGGACACCACTAGCCGTGAGAAAGATATAGAAAAGACCCCTATTCCCAAAGTGCCTCCCCCAGTTCCGTACAAACCTTCGGCGATCTCATCTGAAACTTCACGACGCACGGAACAGCAAACTGTTGTAAAAGAAACGGGTCCCGTGGAATCCATCGATCGCCAAAAGGACTTGGAAAAGACTCCAGTAAAAGTGCCTCCACCTGTTCCGTACAAACCTTCTTCGATAGTGACTGAAACTCCTCGACGTACACAGGAGGAAACCGTAAAAACTGTTGTGCGAGAAACAGGCCCTCTGGATACCACTAAACCAGAAAAAGACATGGAGAAGATCCCCATCCAAGTACCAACTCCTGCTGAGTATAAACCAATTAAGGAAGTAACCGACACCACCCGAACTACCCACCGTACTCATCATCTTTTTGGCAGATGGCGCCATGAAGGTGAAGAGGAGACGGTTGGAAAGGATCGTGTGCGGGCTTATGGACTACCTACTACATCATACGAAGGCCCTCTGGAGCACACTAAACGAATTGGTGACCTTGAGCCGTCACCATTGTGGGAACACACTAAAGCCTATCATCCTGGAGAGTCATGGAATGACCCTAATTATGGCAAAAAATCTACTACTCAACCAGTTGCTAGCGAACGCACTAAAAAGAAAGCCGTCTCCCATTTGAAATCAGGCGAGAAAGGGAAAGAACCAGCTGGAACTGATGAAGATGAAGAACATAGAGTTCGGCTGATAGCTAGGGTACCCCATAGCACAAGAGAGGAGGAGTCATACACTGGCAGAGGAGATGAAGAACCAAGGGAATCGGATAAGTCTCGCCGAGGTTTCCTCTTTGGCAGATGGCGCCACGAAGGAGATGAGGAAACAGTTGATAAAGCTCGAGTCCGACCTGACACTTACCACATAAGGACAGATCCTTACCAGGGTCCCCTTGAGACTACTACTCGTCTATCTGAACTTGAGCCAAAGCCGTTATGGGACTATGCTCAAGCATATCATAGTGGTCAATCTTGGGACGATGGTAAGGGCCGATCATGGGGCACTAAGGAAACCAAGGAAGCCAAACCATCTACCTCTACAACTGTTGTTAAAGAGTCCACGGAGAAAAAGACTGAGAAAGAACATCCTGAAGGAAAGACAGCTACGCTGAAACTGAAGAAATCGTCTTCTGCTGAAAGCGAGGAGGAGACCAGAAAGGTCCGACTGATAGCGCGTGTTGTGCACAGAGACACATCGGAAGACGAAGCGTCGAGATCAAGTAAGGATAAAGAATCGTCTGGACTGTTTGGTTTCTTCAAAGGAGGAAAAAATAAGCGACACGAGAAAGGAGAGGCTGTGGAAGAGATTCAACCACATGCTGAGAAATATACCGGTCCCTTGGACACTGTTGACCGCCAGAAGGACATCGATAAACTTCCATTCAAAGCACCACCTCCTGTGCCATACAAACCGAAATCGGTTGGTGCTGAGCATGAACAGCATGCATATAAGCCCTCTACTCATGTCACAGAGACAACTCATCGACCACAACTGTTTGGTCGTTGGCGACATGAAGGTGATGAAGAGACCGTTGAGAAAGATAAAGTACGAACTGAAACTTATGGCCTACC